GGATTGGCTCTTAAAGTTCAAACATTATCATTGTGCTGTTTATACACCAAGACTCTGTATTTGGGTGGTGATTGGTTGTTGTAAATGTCCTGTATCTCATGACTGGGACCAATAGCATTACCCAAGATGTTAGTATTCATATGAAGCACATGTTAATCTTTGCATGTAGGCTGATGCACCATATTATGATAAGGAAATGTCAGACAGTCAGTCGGTTGGTCGGTGTATTGATCCACCACTTTGGTGCAGACTGAAATATCAAATATCAAATTTGTTTCCACAGGCCGTGCATCATGAAAGCTCTTGGATGGATTGGCACAAAATCATATAAAGACATTTTGGGTGAAATATCTATAACTAACAAACTGTAGAATGGATGGTCATGACTTTTGCTGCAGATATTCAATGTTTCACAACTCTGGGATCATGACTTGAGAATTTTATTGAGTTGACAAGCATCACTCAAACTCACCGCCGTATCTCCAGAAGCCAGTTAATTCTCCCATACTCTGTTTTTATACCAAGAATATTGTCTGGGGAAACATCCACCCAGGGTCTGTTCCCCATTGCTGATGACGAAAATGAAGCTTTTGTTGCTCCAAATAAAGTTGGATTCATTCTGTATTATACATCTAGACCCACTGACAAAAGCAACAGCTTTTGATCTTCCCACAGTGCGGTGAACATGGTGACATTTGTGGGCTCGTTTTGAGAAACATATATTCAGAGCATTAATATGCAGAACCTTATTAAATAAGTAATTGTAACTTGTCAAACAAGTGTAGCTGTAGTAGACTTAAATGTTTCTCTCTGCGATACATTAAAGTATCTTAAATGAAATTACCCAACTGAAGGTAATTCAGTTTGAAGTAGATGCATGTAATTAATGTCCATTGTCTTTTCATTCATAATTGATCACTCATGAGGACCAGATAAGCTCCCGCCTTATCTCTGATGAACACTTTTCATACCGCCTCACAGAAATCAATGAGAAGCTAATTTCCTGTCTGACTTGTTCCACTTACCCACGGCGTGTGGAAGGAACTGAGGCTTGTTCACAATATCCTGATACCTGGAATAACTGAGGCGGTTTTATGTCAGCCCATAATGAGGCGAAGTGTGGTAATGGCTCGGTAATCTGACAGGAATAAAGTACATTTTCAAAGCGGTGATGTGAAGGCAGACTCAGAGGGAGATGATGACATCCTCTGAAGGTTGAGAATAGAGGAAGACACTCCTCAGTCTTCACACGCTCGTAACAAGCGGCCCCATGTCTCCCTGTGACAGCTCCCCAACATGACCTGTCTTAATGTGACCTTTCATCTTGACGAGCCGCGGCTCCGTCTTTTGCTATTGATCTGCCCTTCCATCTCCACGCTAAAATAGGCCAGAGTGAGGTGGGTTCCTTACTCTGATGCCTGTCCCCTTTTCTATCATTGGCAGCGCTTCTTTTTTTTTTTTTTTTTTTTGAGGAGAGGTAGAGAAAGAACAAAGGGAAGAGAAGAATATGCAGCCTCTTTAGTGCGAGTGGGAAGAGGAGTGTGATGGAGCGCTAAAGGGGAGAGCAGGGAAGTTTGTTGGGGTGTGAATAAACTGCTGTCACCCACATGTGAAGCAGCAATGCCAACAGCTGGATAATCTGTACCATCACTGCTGTTTAGTTGAGAGTTTGTGAATCTGTACACATGTTAGGTGTGGTGAAAGTAACTCACGACCGTGTTACACACCGTCTTATTGTACAGTAACATTTGACATTTGTAGTCTTTTTTTTTTTATTTTATTTTATTTTTTTTAGCGTCGTTTGATCTAAAATGAGGTGATGAGGAAAAGCCAAAATCACAAGAGATGACTCGCCGAAAAGCGAAAGCTTGTATCGGCTGGACATGTGGATTTGCTGGTTAAAGTTCAACAATATGAACTCTGACCTGCGAATGTGCAGGAGCTCGAGGCAAAAATCTCCCCCAGAGACACATGTTTCAATTTTTTTATTTTATTTTTTTGTCCTTTTCATGGTTCTCAGTGCAAATTAAGGAGGCATGTAAACAGCTGAAATATAAGTACGCTGCAAATTTTTTATAGCGGCCTCGTGAATTAGCGGCGTTCCTTCAGTTTAGCGATCACAAGCATGAGTCAGAGCCGGTCACAATACGCCGGGTAAATGCAGGGGAGGAGCGCCGCGTTATCACGCAGAACAACAAGGGAAAGCTTCATGAGTCACACATATCAAACACCCCCTCTCGCCCCAAGCAAACCCACCAAAGAGCTCCCATCAGGTGTGTGTGTGTGTGTGTGTGTGTGTGTCTCCCCACCACATCCAAAAAAAAAATGCAAACACAGTTACGAGCAGTTATTGTTAATATGATTTCTAGTCAGAATGTTTAACACCAATCTTATATAAAGACTTGTCTTTAGAAACACACTTTGATGTGGAAGCACTAAAAATACAGAATATTAAAAGCCTGATTTCTTGGCCATTTCTTCACCATGACAACCACAGATAGTAAAAACACATCTCCCTCAGGGGAGGCACAGATGAAGGCTGATTTCATACGAATAAAGAAACAAAAGGGAATGTTTATGAATACACCAGCCCGTGTCTGTAAGTGCGTGCTCAATGTAACGTGTACGTTGGTGGGTGTTTGTACACACTTGTACATTCATACAGTGCATTTGCTGTATGTTTTGATGCATGTCATGTGTTGGTGTTACAGATGTGGGTGGAGCTATGTCTCTGGTCAGAGTGATGTGACTTCGAACAGATCATCCCACAGGGCTTCAAACTGCAACAGCCGGCCTCTGATTCAGTTCTTGAAGTTTCCACACGTTCCGAACGTTTGTTTTCAAATATAAATTGGTGTTGCATCACGTGCCGTCCATTCAAAAGAACCGGTGCATGTGAGAGGAAGAGAGAAGGAATATTAGCAGCTTATTAATTATATTAGCCCTCAACTGTAAAAGTTTTTCATATTAACAATAGATCAAATAATTATGCGTAAAGAGATTGGACCAGCGCTATAATCGTGAATGTCCCTCACTGACTGACTGATCATAGTTCCCCCATTGGTCAGCCCAATGCCACGTGACTGAGCTGGAGTTTTCTCATTGGCCGTTGCTCTTTCAAAATGGATCGGTGCAAACGGTTTCTGTTGCGGGGGCGTTTACAGCCGGCAGTGTTGCCAACTGGACCGTGTATTGGTGCCAACCGTGGGTTTAGGTCTGCACCTCTTGTTACAGCCAGTCACCCAGCTGCCCTGGTTTCCTGGCTGCTCAGCAGCTGCAGGGAAATGGAGGAATGCCTCCAATTAACCCAGCTTCACCTCCATCACGGCAAATAAACTACTTTCATTGCATGTATCATTATTACTAAAGGAGGCAGAGGAATAACTTAACCAGAGAAAGAGAAGCCATCGATAACTGCTAAGCTAAAGTGATGTGTGTGATGATGTCGGTTTGTTACATCGGTTCCAGAGCAGTTTTCTTTGTTAATTATCACCATTATAACTCAGGTTTTTTACTCTCAGAGGTTTAGAGGCCTTTAGCTCGTTGTTTTGGTTTTACTGTTCAACAGGTAGCTGTTTGCAGTAAAAAGGATCTAAACCCACTGTACCTTTCTTTCCCAGCACCAAATGAACGCTTATGTTTCTTCTTCTCTGCTTGATGTGTGTATAAGAAACACGTTGTTGTCACCCAGTCACCAGAGCCCAAGATGTTTGTATTGGATCTTTAATTTTAAAGGTTTGGCAAGTGTGTTTTTGTCCTGTCTATCCGTGTCGGTGTGTTTTATGTCATGTGTTTATATGTATTTTGTGGGAGTCAGCCACCTAAAGATTCAGTCCGACCCAGACAGTAGCAGGAGATCTGATTGGTGTGAGCTTGAGTCCTGAACACAGAGTTTTTGTTACTGCTCCTGTTGAATTCTGTCAATGTGAAGCAGCATAAATAAATAAAAATGTTAGATTTGCATGATCAATAACTTAATACAAGCCGTGTAGATCCTAGACTCTGGGGGGCCCCAGGCATCGACGCCTAGAACCAGTATGAGGGGCCATTAGGGGGGCCCCCCTTTTCCCCCTTGGGGACCCTAAGCATTTGAGTGGTGTGCCTCTCCTGATGCAGGTGTTAGAAAGGTGAAGAGGAGAGAGAGGCTGATATCAGTCAGATAAGACGAACAGAAAGGCAGATTATTAAATTCTGCATCGATTGACAACAACAATGAAAACTACTTTGTGAGGAGGTGATTACAGAATGTAAACACATTAAATGAGCCACACAAACGTCTTTACAAAAGTAATGTGCGAAATTTTACAACTCAAATAATTCATCAATTTGAGACTGAAAGTTATTATTATGGGCATATTCTGGTGGCAGATTCAAGGCGCCACCGTTTTATTAAGTGATAATCGTCCCACCTCCAAACAGCAGCGTGTGGAAGTTGGCACGAGTGTTTTAGTCATGTAACTTTTTATCTGAGATGTCAGCTGATGGTGAAGACCACGTGTCTGCAGAAACACTCTTTACTCTCCTGTGCACCTGCTCTTACCACACACAGTCATGTAGTCTACACACACACACACACACACACACACAGTATCCACAAATACACCCACAGCTCAACTGTAGTAGATTTCATGAGTGCTAGCAGCATAAAGGCTGCTCCCCCTTACTCTCCCTCCCACCTCCCTCTTTCCTTTCCTCTCTCTCTCTCTCTCTCTCTCTCTCTCTCTTTCTCTCTCTCTCTCTCTCTTGCTCTCGCTCTGTCTCGCTCTAATGCTCTCACTCGCTCCCTAAGCAATTCTTTGTTTTTGCTGCTTGTGGTGCCGCGGCACCCTCTTTTATTCTGTTTTACTCTTGAAGAGAAAATCCTCTTTTTGCAGATTACCTTTTCTCTTTCTTGTCTTGTCATCTCTCTCTCTCTCTCTCTCTCTCTCTCTCTCTCTCTGTCTTGTTCCAAACACTGAACCTCTCACTCTGTCTCTCTCTTGGTCCGTAATTCCTATGTATCTCCCCGTGGCTGAGGGGAACAGGGACTTGATTCTCCCCTCTTCCTCTCCTCCTCCTCCTCTACCACCTCCGCCTCTCCCTCTTCAGCTTCACCTCTCGTCCTCTGGCTTCCTAACGGAGGGATAATGTTCTATTTCCAGCTGGTGATCATGGCTGGGACGGTGCTGCTGGCTTACTACTTCGAGTACACGGACACCTTTCCCGTGCACATCCAGGGCTTCTTCTGCTACGACAAGACCTTCTCTAAGCCCTACCCGGGTCCTGATGACACCAGCAAGATCCCCCCGGTGCTCATCTACTCGCTCGTCACAGCCATCCCCACGCTCACGGTAAGAGTTGTGTGTATTTATAAGTGCAGAAGTAAAGGTCAAGAAATGGAGGGAGGTACTTTTGAGGTGCATGAAATAAGTGTGTGTGTGTTTGTGTGTCTAAAAAATAAGAGTGAGGAAAATTGAAAGAGGTTTAGTTGAAAGTAAGAAGTTGTCAAAGTTGAGGTGGCGTGTTTATCTGAGGTTGTTGCTCCCTCTTCTTCTGATTTATTAGTTTGTGCAGTCTTATGATGAATCATCTCTGGTGTGTGTGACTGCACCAAGGATATAGTGAGCAGATTGGCAAGCTGTGTGGACGTAACCCCCTCCTTACTTGACAGGCAGGTGTCTATGTGTGTGTGTGTATGTGTGTGTATGTGTGTGTGTGTGTGTGTGTGTGTGTGTGTGTGTGTGTGTGGAGAAAAGGAGCTGGCTAAAATCAACTCGAACCACACAGAGATGTAATGGGAATGGGCAGACAGGTCATTAGAGAAAGAAAAAGAGAGAAGCGAAGAGAAAGAGTCAAAGAGACAAACAAGAGAGAAAGCAACAGAAAGAAACAGAGCAGGAGTTTGCAGGAGTGCAGACAGAGCGATAATGGCAGGCAGCAGATGCTGTCAGAAAAGAAAAACTTGAGATGATAGGTGAGAAAAAGAGACAATGAGCACAAACGCAGGCAGTTTTTTTTGGGGGGGGGGGGATTTATTGTTTTTTTGTGTGTGTTCATGTGTGTGCATATGTGTGTGTGTGTGTGTGTGTGTGTGAGGTTAGCTGTTGAGCCCCAAGTGAGACGGAAGGCAGTGAGCGTGAAATGCTGAACACCTGGCACTGCTGACTCTGAGCACAGACACAAACCTGAACAGCTCACATCCCCAAAAGACCACAAAAAAACAACCAAAAAACACAGAACACCACAGACAGAACCAGCCTACAGCCACAATACAAAGCTGACAAATAACCGGACCAGATTACATGCACAGAGGAAAAAAAACAAAAAACCAAACCACAGCAAAGACAAGACTTATCTTACAGCAGCACAAACAGACACAAATCTGGTTTGCATGCAGCAGTTGATGGAGGAGGAAGGATGCAGGTTGTTATAATGTGGATAAACAGGGAACAGTTTGCCTCACAGCCACAGTGCACCCTGGAAATCTGTTTAATTAGGTTATATTAGGGCTTGAATATGTTTACATCTGAAATGGACCAAAACAATGTGCATGGGAAGTAATTTAATAGGTGCAAATCACTGAAAGTGTTTTGTTTAAGTGATAAGGTTTCTCCATTTGGGTGAGTAAGTAAGTGCAAGTGCATTGTTTTAGGGACCGTATGGAAATTATTCGAGAGGGGAGGTTAGTCAGAAAAGGGGGAGGGGTCATATTTTCTATTAGTTGAGGAGTTTGTTTTTTTTCTTTTTCTTTTTCTTATTTTAACCCCAACCATGTTTGGGCTTTCTCTAACCTTAACAAAGTGCTTATTTTAAAAACCAAATGATTTATTTCTAAGTTTTGCTATTGCTACATAGCTAACGTTAGCATTAACGGCTGTTTACTTACCAGTCTAGAAGAAGCGTTGCGAGTTCAGCATCAAACTTCATTCCCTTACGCAACAAGAGATGTCTCCAGATGTGGAAAGTGACGCTAATGTTAATTCTGTCGCATCTTTTCATCCACCGAAGTTAGCACGCTAACCAGCTAGCCCCGGCCCGTCTCATCACCGTAGTTTATAAATATAAAAATATGGAACGGTGGATTTTTTTGTGTCATGTCTGCCATAAATATCTTGAGATGAGAGGGTCTTGCTTTTTGATGAAATGCAATGATTTTCCCTATCTCCCCCCACCAGTACTTTAAGTATGTCGATTCTTACAGTTAAATTAAAAAAACTTGCACCATCACGTTATAATTTCTAACATTGCTGATGTATGCAGCAGTTGCACTCTTTAGCACCTAGCTCTGCGCACAAGACCAAAGCAAGCAGACCTTTAAAGCTTCCCTGGCTGAGGATAAATTACTTTGGGATACTTTGATCTGGGTCAGAGCACATTACTTACACCAGCTAGTCTGCTCTAACCTGTGCTGACAGAGGCCTCGGTGTGTGTAACAAGCAGTAAGGTAAATCACAGCAGTAACTCCCTGTGACAGAACCAGTCTGGTGCGAATGTGCTTTGCCATTTGCCGCTGGTTTTTCGGAGGAGCTCTATCTCTTTCTGTCCAGTGAGCAGCAAATCAGAGCCTAGTGTTTGGTGATGAAGTGGCTGCACAGCACAAAAGCCAGGTCATCGTTAATACAAAAAGAAATGTGACCTTTTCTGTGGTTTTAGATCAGCATTTTTTGGATCTGTTGTAGCATTTATGTTGCCAAGCAACCATGATTGTACCATTGTGTTTTGAACAATTTGACTGTCTTTTAATTCTAAACACCTTTTGATAGCACTGAATCCAAGAAAAGGCCATCGTATTATTGCTGTCGTACAGCCAGGACTTGATTATATGAACTGACCGTATAAATAAGGAGACCCTGCCTGGCTGAGTCATTGTAGGTAATCAGCCACCAGTGTATTTGGGTCAGTGCCAGAGTCCTCCAAGCCCAACAGAGGGCACTCTAGCTCTCTGTCTGCTCCCAGTAGGGGTCCGAACATCTAATTAGAATCATCAATCACTTTTACAAGCTCCAGCGCAAGAAACCAATTCTCTGCTTGGAGACTGAAATAGAAGACAAGGGACCTGACATCCTCCCACCTCACTGTGTTAGTCACTTTTATTATAGCATCTGTGTATATGAGCCTTTGTAAAGCTTCTCCTTCACTGACTTTTACCTTCTCAGTTATTAAAGTTGGTCGACATACGCGCTGTTTTGCAGTAAATATTTCAAATAAATAATAACCCAACAGTTTAAGTAGGGATGTGGACAGGTGCTTTTATTAGTATCTACAGTTTACTATTTACAATATACTATACTTAACAATCCTGTATTTTATATCTAAAACCAGCTCACTGTAGTTTTACATCTCCTCTCTCAGGCTTCTCTCTGGAGCTCTAGCGACAACAGGTCGGTGAGCCAATCAGAAGAGACGAGGCTCTGAGCCTCTGTTCTGATTGGCTGGCTGTTTTCTGAGTGATCAAATAAAAAATATAGCAGAGTTCAAGTAAAAACACTCAGAGAAACCAAATCCTGCGAGGTCGGATGGTGGGCGGCGCTTGGGGCATGGCCGAGAGCGGTGACTGCTTTTTTGTGACATCACAAAGTTACACGAAGTCCTGGCGGCTGGTTGACAAACCTCGCTCTTGTCAAGTCAGGAAAAGTCTCTTTTATTTAAAAAAAGCCTAAAAACACAAATTAGCTTCAGGGGGTTTTACAACTCTATGGCTTACAATTCCATCTATCCTTAAACTGATTACAGTCATTCCACGAAGACTTTAGGAGAGCACTGAATAATTACATCACTCACATGATCCCTCACTGGCTTCCCACCCAGTGAACACTATCAATTCTTGGCTCCTATAGTTACTGTTACTATGCTTGCCAAGATTTCCATTTATAGTCATAATTGTGGCACATTAACCTCCTGAAATTCATTGTAATTGTAGGAGGGTCTTTTACAGGCTGGGGGTGAGAAGCAGAGAGAAATTAAGTTTGACTTAAATGTTTGTTCATTAAAGATTGCTGGCATCATTTCGATTTTTATCACTTGCAGAAACAGAACAAATGAACAAAAATGTCAAGCTTTTGCAAACAATCAAATTTGTGCCGGATCTTCATTCTGGCCATCACAAGACTGTAAATTCACTGGAGCAATTGTAGCTAAGTTACACATCTCGGTGTTGATAAAATTACACTTCATGATCATATTTTTGTTTAGAGGAGAAAACAAGTGAACTTTAAAATCCATCTGCCTTGTTATTAATAGATTAATGCTGGTAGAAAACTGTCAGGTTTTACCTCAAGGCGACTGTTGTATCTGCAGGAACGCTGAAATCTTCTCCAAAAAAAAAAACACACACTGGAGTTTGGTTCATTATGAGGACATCTTGAAAGTTTTGCCTAATGGAGCCTGTAAGCCAGTTAAGTCTAGGATGAATTAACTTATCTTGCACAGATTCGATCTGACAGTGTGTGTGCGAGTGTGTGTTCATGCTCCCCTGTAAATCCTTCCTTTGATCCAATTTTGTGTTTTTTTGTCTCTCTCTCTCTCTTAACTTCTGCCGCTTGTCCTTTCTCCACAACCTTCCCCATTCCTCGCATCACTGCATTTTAACCACAGTTACCTTTTTGCCTTCATGTTCTATTCATCGCTACTCCTCTCTGCCAAGATTGCCTCCACTCTCATTGACACCTCCTCTACCTTTTCAAATTTTTTTTTTTTTTTTTATGCCTCGCCCTTTCTGACCTCTCCTCACGCCTATGTTTTGTCTCACCTCCTAGTTAACATGTTATCTGTGAACCGTGGCAACCTGTAGCTGGATTGAGAATCAAAGAGATTTTAACCGCACAGGAGGAAAATTCTCACTTCCTGCTCTTTACCACAGATGAAGAGGAGAAAAAGTCTTTTTATGTGACTGAAGTCATACTGAGATAAAAAGGTGCATGCTGTGAGAGATGAATACTTAGCTTAATAAATAGAAAAAAAAATGTCAGCCTTCAGCTTTGTTCTGACTCATCAAAGTTGAACTGCAGGTATAGTCTGTGCAACATCCAAGGGCAGGTCATATCTACTGTGAAAAAGACTGTGCTTAGTTTATTTATGCTCCTACTGGCTGTCCAGGTGAAGCCAATGTCTGATTAAAGTTAAAAAATAACTTGCTCTCATGCTTAATAGATACAAATCTGTCAGTCATAAGAACAACTTATTACTTAATTTACTTTAATAATGAGAGATTTAAAAAAAAAAATTTCACAACCTGGCAACCCAAACGTTATTCTTATCAGTGGCAGATAACTTATTTATAAAGCATTAGTAAATGATTTACTATCATTAATAAATTGTTAATAAATCCATTAGTTACAAACTCATTAAACTC